AACTAATACACGACAATTCAAAAATAGTTTCTCGAACGATAGAACAAAAAGGCTTCAAGAGCTCAGGAAAACAGATGAGTCGAAATTGCATTAAATCAACTTTATTTATGCGGAGGTAACCCTGACCTTGGAACACAAGAGAAAAAAACAAACTAAAACATGAGTTGACCAATCAGATAATATCAAGGATCAGTGTCAAATGTCTTCTTTACACACGTTGTAACCACTATGAGCAAAGTTAGCTGATTTAGTGCCTTCTTAGTACATACAGGAAAATAAATCTAAAACATAGTAAAGAGTTTACTCCGATATTTTTTTACATCTGGATTTTATACATTCAATCTTATTCTTTTAGTTAGTCAGTCTATTTAATAAGCCATATTACAATTTGATGATAGTTACTGATATATTTTTTCGTTAGAATAAATAAATATATGAACCTGTTCTTATCATCTAACATTGAATGATATGGCTCGAAATCGTTTGTAGTAGCGCAGATGCATCTACTCTTTGTGTTTTCTCAAATTCTAATCTTCTGAATTCCTCATTATTGGGGACGTTAGATCCCCAGAACTCACTTGGAAAAGGTCCTAATTTTGGATGTTTTGTGCTTTCGAGCATAAGCTGCCCAGTTAACCTTGAGATTGCAATAACCCTTGACTGTCATTGGTTTGATGTATTATTTTAGTACGCTATTTTTGTGGCTCCCCCAAGGACGTTTCTGTCATGTATAAATAAACTCCATTCATCAACCCCATATTTTCTGGGTACTTGTAGAATACACTTATTGCGTCTTGTTTAGACTTCTTCTTCTACTTAGTGAGGCATTGGGACGCTCGGATTAGAGTAACCTATCGTATTACTGGATCCGATGTCTTCACTCTCGTTTACCGACTAAGGTGAAGTAGTAATAGTTTCAAGCATATCAGTTGAAAAGTATATCACACATTACCTTTATCTTTCTCTTTATAAGTTTATTTCACTAGATTCTGCTTCTTGAATCACATATCTTTGAACACTAATCGTTCCGATTACTGCTCATACTTCTACTACCTCTACTACTATTGGATTTGGATTGACGTTTTGCTTCTCTGTGCTATCGTAGTTTCGCAACCTGAACCGATGTACGTACGTACGAAGTTCTACGGTGTTGCTGACTGACTTACTTATCTAACATGATATTTTAACCTACGACTTTGCCTTATCACTCAAAGTTTACTAATGGATTTAATCGATTTTTTTATTTGTGCATTAAAGTTGTACTATTGGTGTCATTCAATCAGTCAGGTACAACGTAGAACTTGAAACATACGTACATAAGTTTAAGTTGCTATACCGTATCTAGCACAGAGAGATGGAATTGTCAATTCAAATCCTATTGTTGCAGTATAAGCGGTGTTATTACCACGGTTTCACTTGATAATGTAGAATAAATTTGTCAGTAAATGAATTGTTACTAGTAAAAATAATATCTTTGTAGTATCCGAACGGGACGTCGTTATACAGGCATACAAACATAGTATCAATCGGATCAACAGTATTATTTCACTGTTTGATAACAAGAGAGCTACTTGAATTCTACTTAATTCGTTGTTCATCTTCATCATCTTGTAAGTTTTATGGTTTGCATCGTCAATGTTCAGATTACTTACTTGTTTACGCCTGTCACCCTCAATGAAGCAAAGGCCACCAACCAGTATTCTCCAACATACTCTGTCCTGGGCTTCCTTTTCCAGTTCTTGACAATTTTCCCTCATTCTTCTCATGCCTTTGACTATTCCTCGGCGTTATGTGTTTTTTGGCCTTCTTCTTTTCCATTTACCTTGAGGGTTCCAAGTTAGGGCTTGTCTCGTGACGTAGTTGGGTGCTTTCTGCAGTGTGTGTCCTATCCACTTCAGGTGCTTCTTCATGATTTCCTCCCGTTGCAATCTGGTTTGTTCTTTCCCACAGTAGATTGATGCTGATGGTGTCTAATCAACAAATCCAGAGTACTTTGAGTAGACAACTGTTAATGAATACTTGTATCTTCTGAATGACGGCTTTCGTAGTTCTCCAAGTTTCCTGCTCCATACAGTAAACCTATCTTGATATTTATATTGAAAATTGTGACTTTGGCATTGGTTGATAGTTGTTTTTAATTCCAGATGTTGTTCAGTTGTAGAAATGCAGCCCTTGCTTTGCCGATCTGTGCCTTCACATCTTCATCAGATCCACCTTGCTCATCGATGATGCTGCCAAGATATGTAAAGATGTTAATGTCCTCTCTATGGAGAGTGAGTTGGTTGATGCATGTTTTGTTGTATCATAGAATCTTGCTTTTCCCTTTATGTATGTTGAGACCTACTGCTGCTACTTTATAATACAATTCGATAAAGTAATCTGAACATTGAATTATGTTTTCTAACTCGTCACAAGAAAAAAACTCGCTAACCATAAAACATAATTCAATGTTCAGATGACTTTATCAAATTGTATTCTAAACAGCTGCATATCTCAAAGCAGTTTTCTCATGTTTATCATAACATATTCCTCTAAATATAATTTAGCTTTTAAATTCATTGTTTTTATCATTTTTTGTTCTTTTGTTCAATTTACAAACTGATAAAATTTATGTTCACTTTACGATTTTATTTTCTATTTGATTGATCAAACTTTTCTCATGAGTATTTGTCATTCAGACTGATGATCGAATCAAGAACCTGTCGTTCCTTTTTCATACATTAGAATATTATTATTCAATGAATTTATTCACTTTCCACCATAGATCAGTTAAACATTAACACATTTGGCCCAGTGGTACAGAGGTCAGGCGTTCGCGTGCATGCCCTAAGGTCCTAGGTTCGAGTCCTGTGAGGCGCAAGAGTCGTGGATGCACACTGCCACTGATGAGTCTCATACCAGGACGGAACGGCCGTCACATATGGCGCAGGCGAGATATCCGTTTGCTAACAAAAGGACGAGTGTACTGTGCAGCAGTTCGCCCCGTCCTACTGTACGGATGCGAGACTTGGCCGTAGAGGACTTCCGTAAGTTACTAGTCTTCGATCATCGATGTCTCCAAAGCATTGCTCGTGTATCATGGGACAACCACATAAGCAATGCTGTCGTTAGGAAACGAGTTCTAGGTAGGGATGGCAAATCAATAGACGAAGTACTGAAACTTCATCAGTTGAGGTGGTTGGGACATGTGTTACATATGCCTAACCACCGACTGCTTCGATAAGCTACGTTTTATGGTGTAGGACTAGGTTGGGAGTAAACTAGGGGCGGCCAAACCAAAACATGGCAGCAATGCTTGAAGTCACTGACAAGTGGACTGAGTCATGTTGGTAGATGTAGGCTATCTGGTTGGGGTCCGCGAGACGATAGTCAGCGATGGTTAGAGACCTTGAATGACATGGCTCAGAATCGTTTGCGATGGGGCAGGTGCATCCACTCTTTGTGTTCTATGAAATTCTAAGCTTCTGCATCCCTCGTAATCTCGACCTTTCTCCTTCTAAATTTATCTTACTAAATTATACTTCTCGAATCATATCTTCGTCCCCTAATCTTCTCCATTACTGCTAATAATTCTACTATCGCTATCACTCTTGGATTTGAACTGACAGTTGCGTCTCTGTGTTGATGTAGTATGTCAACCTGAACTGATGTACTCGCGTACGAATTTCTGAGTTGTATTTGTCTATCCGTCTGTCTGTCTGTCTTGAACGGCCTTCTTTAACAGTTCTTCCATGTTTCCAATGGTTGTCTAACTCTGATTGATTGATGATTCCAATGTGCAACAAACACCAACCTTATTTTAATAAACACAAAAAATCGATATTTCGCTCGATTTTATGCAAGTTTTTATTTTTTTTTTAACTGTCCATCCATTTATCATGAGTTGAATAGAATAAAGTTTAGTGTTGAGTTAAAGTATTTGCAGAAAATCAATAACAGAAATGGACAAGTTCAAATGATATTAAAAAAAAATACATTCATAGTTATTATATCAGTAATATTACTGTAATTTAACTAGGACAATACACTTTCAAATCGTTTATTTGGTAAATGATTGTAAAATGTTAGTGAATAAAATCACTTACTGAATTATCTAAATAAACCTTTTATAAAATCTTATTACTTAAGAAATGAAATATAAAAATAATCATTTCGTGAAAATTAACTTCAAAGCAAAATTTTCACATTTTTGTTCGAAACTGTTTTCGTTTAGAAAATCAACTAGATCTTGTATAAAGTAATTAATTAGTTAATCATTAGATTAAAATTACATTTTAGCATACGAATGAATAAGAACCGATTTACAGTGTACAGTGAATTTTTGTACTGATTGACTTGAAGCATTTATTCATAGTCATCTACATAAATATTGGTACAAAGTGGCGATCGTACAAATGAATAAGTTTGTGAATAGGCTATAAAATACTGTCTGGATACCGAAACCGACTCAGGTTCGGGCTGTACCTTGAGACTTCAATCCAAAAGTCTAATCCACAAGGCTATGAAACAGAGTAAAGAGATTCAGTCACATTGTATCTGGTGACCAACAATAGACTCATACGTTCTTGTTTTCGTCAGCATCCTCGAGTTCATCTGCACCATAGGTTTAGAATCAGGGTTTTTCAACTTCCCTAGATAAATCTTCCATATCTACCAATCTGGTTAAAGCACCGGACATTCGGTTTTCATCAACTTATTTTAGTAAACGATACCATTGGTACGCGAAGGTAGTGAGTGTAACTTCCCTGGCAGTGACTGCCAGATACACGTGTCCATATGAGAACATTCGTAGAGGAAGAGCGGACTCTCTTCATTCTCAGCCGTACCTCAGGATTCGGGGCTGAGCTTGTAAGATATCACGCATGGGAGTAAGTTAACACTATCGATTAGATCAAAAATATATATTTGACTGAATTTTTAGTACTTCCTTATTTTTTCACATTTCAAGGGGATGAAGTTCAATTATCATTATTATTTCCTTACGATTCCTTTCATTTTCAGTTGCCACAAATGACCTTCTCCTGGATTAATGTTTCCTTGAACAATCATGTCCAATCTACATGAACGTTTATCTTTCTCTGAATATATTTACAGAATTAAACTTAAAAATATCCTTAATGAAAAAACAAACCAAGATAATATTAATTATGCAAAGGATTTAACATTGAATTCATCAATCCTATATTCTCAGTTGGATAATTTTGAGTCGATCACATTTTCAGTGGATAAACAAAATTATGTTAAAAAGAATTGTGATGATGATGATTATGACGATGATCACAATAATCATGTTATCATCAACATTGATTCTTTAAAATGTATCAATCAATGTTTATTAACAACGAATCAAAGTAAATATCAATTACCTACTGGGATCAAATGTAGAGGTAAAGTGTAAAGAATTCTTGTTTTGTTTTTCCTATTAGAGTTATGGGGATCAGTGTTTTTTAAACATTGAAATCATCAGTCAGTCATTGTTAGACCACTGTTAGAAACCTGGAGGCACTGGACGACCGTGTATGTGACATCAGTGGCAGTGCGCATCCACGAATCCTGTGCCTAGCAGGATTTGAACCCAGGACCTCCGATCTTGCACGCGAACGCCTAGTGTTCCAGAGGTTACGCGTTCGCGTGCAAGATCAAACGTCCTTGGTTTGAATTCTGAAAGTAGCTGGAGTCGTGGATGTACACTGCTGATGAGTCCCGTACCTGGACGAAACGGCCGTCTTTCAGTGCTTACAGGTTTCTGGTAGTTGTCTAAAAATGATTGATTGGTAATTTCATTATTTGATTTTGTTTAGAATTCTAAATTAGTTTTTGAGTTTTTAGAAATGATTTAATTTTAAATTTTACTCTAATATTCAAAAATTTGTAATGATGCATACTTGTTTCAAACCTCAATGTGAATATCATCGCGTTAGCCGAAAAATCTCGTACAGAATATCTCTCCATCTTTGGATTTTATTGCTTATTACTGATAGAACACTATTCAATGTTAAAGAATCCATCACGTAACAGACTCTTTCGAAGTAGACAGGTGTCAGACACAGTCGCTTACTCTCAGTCTCTCTCTTTCTCCTGGTCATCGACTGGATTATGAAGACGTCAACATCTGGAGGGAATCACGGTATCAACTGGACAGTTAGGACTCAGCTGGACGTTCTGGACTTCGCAGATGACCTGGCTCTTCTATCGCACACGCAAAAACAAATGTAAGAGAAGATGACCAGTGTAGCAGCAACCTCTGCAGCAGTAGGTATCAACATACATAAAGCAAAATTCTAAAATACAACACAACGTGCGCCAACCAAATCATTTTTGATAGAGATGCCTTGGAGGACGTTAACACCTTTACATTTCTGGGCAGCAGCATCGACAATCAAGGTGGATCCGATGCAGATGTGAGGGCGCGGATCGGCAAAGCAAGGGCTGCATTTTTACAAATGAGAAATATCTGGAACTCCAAACAACTTTCAACCAAAACCAAAATCAGGTTTTTCAATACAAATGTGAAGACAGTTATACTGTACGGAGCGGACGATACGGAAGATAGAAGTAATTAGGAACAGTTGTCTACGCAAAATACTTTGGATACTTAGCCAGACACCATCAGTAACAACCTACTGTGGGACAGAACAAGCCAGACTCCAGAGGTAGAAGTATTCAGGACGAAGCGCTGGAAATGGATAGGACGCAAACTAGGAAAAGCCCCCAAGTGCGTCACTTGGAACCCTCAAGGTTAAATGAAAAGAGGAAGGCCAAGAAAAATATTACGCCGAGAAATGGAGACGGATTTGATAAGAATGAACATCGATCCAACAGAAGTTGAAAGGGAAGCTCAGGACAGAGTACTTCGGAGAACGCTAGTCGGCGGCTTATGCTTCATTGAGGTTGCAGGCGTAAGTAAGTAAGTAATCAGAACGGCCGGCAGAACGGATAAGGTTCGAAGATATGTATTGAAGTTAGCAGATGTATCCAGAAGTGTACGACAGAAAACGACTAATTTTGGTGCGTTGTGGTTGTTAGCTAAGGGTTGTGACTAGTCGAACTAATATGACGAGCATCAAATGCAAAACCTTACATAGTTATACAGCTACTACAACAGTATAGCTCCTATGCATGTGTTCAGGTGTTTCAGCGTTTTGTTATGCCGAAAAATATACAAAAGAAATACATAAATGGTTCGTACCGAATAACTTGCGCCAGGGCTTTATAATGTATCGAAAACAAACTGGCATGCTAGGTTTCTCTACATACCCTACTAACCGCCTTTAGAACTGTCATCACTTAGCAAATATTTTTTCAGAAGCGTAATTAAGAAGAATAAGGGACAGTAAAGTATAACACACAACCCAAAAACGTTTAAAAATCGTAAATGTCAACTAATGCCATAATCATTTAGCTTGTAGTTGTAATACGCTTAACGGAAAGCCTCCTTCAGCATCGATAAAATATGATAAGACTGAGAATAATCAGCGATAAAGCTTAGACCATTAAAAATAACCTCCAACACTATTTCTGCTAGTGAGTTTCCGATGATACAAAGGTTAAAGGATTTCATAGTGGTGTTTTATTGCTTCTCGGTTCTGGGGTTAAAATCAGCAGTTCGACCTTCTGAAGGATAAGAAATGTGTGTGTTGACGACAAATGGTCGTTTAATGTGCGACAAGTGTTCATTCATTCCAAATATATTTGAAAAGTCTAAAATCGTTGTACACACGACATAATTCTTTTGTGAAGAAGATAGCAGATCACTTAGAATGAATGAGGGGATCAAGAGATCAACAACTGCTCATAATGTTACACCTTATTTAGTTATTGAAAACCTCGAACACTTGACTGCAAGAACAGCATGGTGTTTTCTGCTAGAGAGGTAGGAACATAACAGTTTGGTTATTTGGCTGGCCTCGACTATAAAAACTTTGTCTAGTAATAATCTCGGAATTAGATCAGTAATGGCGGTCTGACCTATGAATGTTCACGCAATATACTTCTTACCCCTTTCAAAGCCGAAAACATACAATTGCCATGTTCATATTTTTCCAGAAAAACCCAAAACAAGAATGTACCCATTATATTAAAGACCCCTTAAAAGTGACAAATCAGTTACCACGCCTAACAAACTGGTTATGAAGCTTCCCACTCGAATTTGAAGGACAAATGCGATCGACTTGGTTCCTTTTTCACATAAAGTATAGATATACAGCCAGAGTTTTAAACACAAATGTATGAAGAGAAGGGAAAGTATACTGCGACTAATTATATCACAAGTTGACAAGTTTGCAAAATCAGTAAATTGGTCGAAAGAAATTTGGTTCTGAGATGCAGAAGAAACTTAGCTTGTTATATACTTATATTAACTCGGACAATAAATTGATTATCCCGGCCATAACAAGATCTAAGATTACTGAGTGTCTATCGGTTACAGTATCTATGAATAGAATAATAAGTATGTAGAAGTTACGGATAACTAGGATTAGAAAACTAAACTGACTGTAGAATCTTTCTTGAATGTTTTGTTTTTTGGAAAATCCCTCCATCTTTATATATATTTGTTATGACATGACGGACTCTTTCTGTTGACATTTTGGTATTTTATTTGATTCCAGTTTGAGATTTTATCATTGTATATTGTTATTATTTCTATATTTTGTACGTATATTGAAGTTTTTATGCTTGCTTCTGAACTGTACATATGTTGTTTAAATTTGATATAATATGGCTACAGCCACAGTTTTGGATTTGATATCGTGCGGTATACGAGTTCACCTAGTCTCCGAAACCTTGATACTCATTCAGAGTAATTTTGAATTAGAAGACGTAAAATTTGTTAGGTAACGTTTGTATTTCCATTTATTCTCTATTAATAGACCATTTTCTCCTAGAATTATTGTGTTCTGATATTGGACTAGGAGAGGGGTGCGTATAACATACGTCTATTGGAATCGAATTGAACTGCTACGGTAGAAAATCCAATTACAGTCTAACAAATTTGGAGAACAAGCCTACTACAGTCTGATTATTAAGAAGAATAAGGAAACATTTGGAATTTTAATCGTTTATAACATTAAACTGCTTGGAAGAAGAACCTTGGATTACTTATCGTTCTTTTTGTGATGGAACTGTATTTTGGAAACGTTTTTCTGGTCCTTTTGGATTTTTACTGAGCATTAACCGGTGGGATTTCGATATTTTGTATTTGTTATGGAAGAATATATAGAAGAATTAGCCAAAGCTGAATATATCCTAGGCTTTGTAGCTGAGGAAGTTACGAAAAGAATAATGTCTTCCTGCAATGCGATAGCTTATAACCTCCCCGACCACACATCCTTGAATTCGCTAAAGGAAACTTGTCTAAAAGCGTGTGATATGACAAACGTCAGCTGTCACGTCACTCGCCTCAGAAAAAAATCGGACAAATCAACTTGCCCTCTCCTTTTCAAATTTGGCTGCTGCAACGACGCCAAACAATTTATCCGTTCGAGCAAAAATATTAGCTCATCAACCTTATACAAAGAAGTAAAGGTTACCCCGGATCTAACGCCTTGTCAACGTCGTGTAAAAACAAGAGAGGCGATCAGATCACATAACAGTGAGACAGCAGACAATCTACAGAAAATAACCCTCAATGTCATGAAAGTAAATAAATAAGTAAACCACGATGTAGCTCTTGATAAGCCTGTGGACTGTAAACCTTCTAACAAAGTACAGATGCCCTCTGTCACCAAGAAATCAAACGACCCTTGCAGTTCCAATCCCAGCTGTTCGAACGTTAACTTGACTGAAAATGTCCCAAAAAACAACACTGTTCCAGCTAAAACTAATAAAATTAAGAATCCATCCCCAAAATATATTGCACGAGAGAATACGATAGAAACTGACGTGTTTTTGAAAAACACGTCCAGGGGACCAAAACATTCTCCGTCTTTAACTAAGAAGAGTGACCTGATTAAATCTTGGGTCTCAAGTAAAAAAATAGGTAGGATTCAAACCCGATTGCCACCGACTTTTCCAACTACGATGAACAGGTTCACTCCTTTAATGTCATGTGATGTGCCCCTAGCCTCCCCAAGTTGTAAGACTGATAATATTAAGAACAGGTCAGACCAATATCTGAACATGCGCACAAATAATTATTATCCAAGAGCTAGGTGCACTGCCCAACCACCTAATCCTAGAACTATTAGTGAAAGTGGAAATGGAAGATTTTTCACCCCTCACCCTATCCTAAAGACCCGGGCTTTTATTCGCAAAAACGCTGAGAATGAAAACTCTATGCATCCTGCTCTACCAAGCCAGCTGGTATACATGACCCCCAAATTTAGAAAAGGCCATAGCAACTGGCACTCGTATATGGCTAACCCTCCCCAAGTTAAAACCATTCCGTATAAATTTAGC